CTCTCTCTCTCTCTCTCTCTCTCTCTCTCTCTCTCTCTCTCTCTCTCTCTCTCTCTCTCTCTCTCTCTCTCTCTCTCTCTCTCTCCACTGTGTGTGTGTGTGTATGTGCATCTGTATCATGTATGTAAAAACAAAGATTGTCAATATCTCTCTCTGTCTCTATGTATATGCACCTCTGGTGGCATGTCACTGTGTGTGTGTGCGCATGCACGTGTGTCTGTATGTATGTAAAAAACAAAACAAAAAACATCAACAACAATCTTTGACAAATATCTGTCTCTCTGTGTCGTGTTTATAATGAAGGTGGCGTGACGCAGTGTGAGTGCGCGCGGGGGCGGCGTGTGTCTATATGTATGTAAAAAAAAAAACAACCAAAAAAAACCTCCAATCATTGACAATATATCTCTGTCTCTCTGTCATGTGTGCTATACAGGTGGCGTGGCGCTGTGGCAGCTGGAAGACGACTACCACACGTTCGTGCTGTCCCAGGCGGCCCAGGGCCACGACCACGTGGTCAGCTCTGTGTCTGTCCTAAGTGACCACAGCAAGGCTGCCTCCAGCGGCCATGACAGATGGTGAGTCGATTGGGGGGGCGGGGGGAGACACCAATACAGTGGAAACCGCTACCTTAGAATTATGAAGTTCTTTCTGACATTGTTGGCCGTATTGAGGTACCAAGTCCATCATGAGGTCAGAAAACAAATGTTCTATCTGCTCTATTAAAATCGTAATGTCATTGGAGTGAGTCGATATTGAGATATTCAAAGAATTGCATTCTAAAAAGCTTGACATGTTGTGAAACTCTTAATTTTTTCGTGTCAAAATTTTTCCTAACAAGGTGCTGAGCAGATCGAACTTTGATTATTGAGTATTGAACTGTCCAAGATGGACATGTATTTTTGAGGAGACGAGTGGCCATCTTACAGCGTCTCTTTAGTGTAAAAAGAAGAGAAAAAAATGCAATAGAGGAAATGGGAAGTCGCTGTTTTGTTTGTACAGGTGAATGTTTTATACCGGTGGTCTTTAGAGCCGGTTGGACTGTATAGAGGCACACACACACCCGTAACTTGGTCCCCCCCCTAACCAATTTTATATTTCTCATTTTGATTGTCAAATATGGTATAGCAGTTAGATGCTGGGCCATCGTATGGAGAAGACATAATTTTTTTTTAAAGTACCGTACAGTCAAAATTGTCTAAGATGGCCACCACCCATTGTCGAGAAAAGTGTCAGTTTTAGACTTTTTACACAGTTTTTGTCTATTTAAAAAACAAACAAACACGAGAGGGAAGTGGCTGTTTGAACCGGTGATGCAGATTCGACTGCGTGGGGTGGGGGTGCGGGGGGTTGAATTCCAGACAACTTTTACTTCTTCTTCTCCCCACCGCTTCTTTAATTTCTAATTTTGAAAAAATTAATTGCTGTGTTTAACATTTTTGTGTAATGTATTGTGTGTTTTTTTCCCCCTCAGCATAAAACTCTGGGACCTGCCCACAGTGTCTTTACTTTACTCTGCTCAAGGTGAGATTTTCCTCTCGGGCGCTGTGATGGGGTTTACTCTTTCTTTTCTATCAAACATCTATTGTCCATATCTCTCCTCCTTTTCTTTGTATGTTACTTTCTTGTAATTGACATCTTTAATCTTCAGCATTTACATGACCAATTTGTGTTGCAACTGTCAGGAAACTCTTTATAAAACTAAACTCTAATGTCTTGTCAAGTATCAAAGATCACAGCAGTCTCTGGGAAAATAGGGGTTGGTTAATTAATTTTTAAAAATAACGGATGATGGGGAGGGAGTGATTGAGGACCCGCAGTCTGATCATTTGATAACTCTTGAAGACGTTATCGACACTTTTTTCCCCAATTTTTTTCATTTATATGAAATTTTTAAAAAGTGCGAAACAATATAGGCCTACATTCTATGAAATATGCAAATTAATGTTTCTGACTTGTGTATGGGTTTGAAATGTGCCACGTGGGTGGTGGAAGGGTGCCGTCACTGGTAGGTCCTACTTCTTTACTTTCCCACTGTTATTTTTGTCTGTTTGTCTGTCTGTCTGACTTTTTCCCAGCTTTAATTGACCATTATAGTGTCCCACGATGTGCTTCTCTTTCCTCAAACAAGTCAACAAACAAAAATGAAATGTGCCGCAATTGTTGTGACTATAAAGTGATGTTCTCTGTCTGTTCGTCCCCAGCCCACCTGGACACCGTGACCAGCATCGACTGCCACCCATCAGAACCAGACCTCTTCATATCCTGTGGCCAGGTAGGCATGCCCAGTTAGCACGACCATGCACAGGTTGGGATGAGAGTGGTCTTTCTTTTTTTTTTTTAACTGCTTTAGGATATGCTTGTGATTTTTTATATGTATATGAGGCAAGCTGACAAACTGAGTTACTTCTCACAGTCTGTGAATGGTGATATTGGCCAGAAATTGGCACAAGGGTCAAATTTGTATTTATAGATTTTTAACTGATAACATTTTTTAAAAATTTAATATGTTTTCATTATCAATTTGTTCTAATAAATTACTACCAGAAATTACACAAACTCAACCTGTAAATTTAATGTATCTATGTCCATAGGGTTAAAATCCGAGAACTAAGCCATTTTGTGAGATCACCTCACAATTTATCAGTGTCATTTCACAAGAGCCCAAGTCAGTTTTCTAAGGGGGAAAAAAATTATAGAAAAAGATATGGTCCAAAGCAGTACCATATCTAGAGCACTTATGATTCTACAATTATGGACTAGGAAGGAAACAATGATACAAAATGAAACTATATTGAAAGATGCCACTTTATGTCTGTATTCACATTTCACCTTTATCTTAACATCCCCCCCCCCCACACACACAAACACATAAACACACATACAAACACACACACACCCCCCCAGAAATTGCTTTTGTTCATGTGTGTAGGTGTTATTGAATGAGCAGTAATTGTTCCCTTTTGTTTCCCAGGATGACAGAATATTGCTATGGGACAAGCGTAAGCCCAAACCAGCCAGCCTTCTCAGTACGTATTTCTGTCTTATTTTGTTATTGTATAGGATATTGTATAGGTTTTAAAACCCTTTGCAACACTGAGGTTATCTACGAGGCGAATACATTTTTACAGTACATACATCTTGTTATTGCTTTTCATAAATTAGAGTGGAGTGCTCTTAAGCTAAACGCAATAAGTACGAAAACAACTGTAAATTAAAAGAAAATATAATTCCCCAATTTTTTTTCTCTTAAACCGAAAACCCAGGTAAACTGAAGAAAATCTGGCTGTCCTTCAGATTTCTGCTTGAGTGGACTCCACTGTGCGTCATGATAGAGCACCCAGTAGTCATAGTTTATCTGTCTGTACAGATACAGTGCAAATTTCCAGAGAATCTATGCAGAGTTTTTCTTTCCAGGATAAATGGTGCAAAGTTAAGCCCAAAATCTTTTCATCTTGTTTTGAAATGTAGATTACAGCACAGGTTTTTGCCTTTGAGTGGAATTTGTATTATACAAATACTATTTTTTGTTAACATTGTTTTGTCAGGATGTTAGTGTTTTAGTGCTAGTAAAACTAAAATGGCTGCTTGCACTGTGACTGTATACTTTCCAGGAAGTTGATATTGTTTCAGAATGCTATCTGGTCTGCTGGGAATAAACTTGTGCTATTTTATTGTTGTTGTTATTATTATTATTATTACTACTTCTTTTGCTTCCCATCTTTTGATGTGATACTCTTCTCTTCTTTTTTTTAAATTTTTGGTTATACTTGTGTAATGAGTCACTGACCGTTTGGAGTGCCAATGATGAGACAAACTTTGAGTCTGATGTTGTTGATGACTCTCTGTATCCAACGCTTTGTCTGAGACTCCTGTGTGTGTGTGTGTTTACATGTGTGCATGTGTGGTATTGTCTCTCAAGAATTCATGCTGCTTCTCAGTGCTGTGTGTCACCAAATTTTGAAATGGAAAGACTTACTTTTTGTGGTGTGCCATTTGTTCATTGGTTTACCAAGTTTCCTTCAGCTAGTTATTCAGAGATTGTCATTCATTTGTTCATTGGTTCAGTTTCCTTTGACTAGTTATTCAGATTATATGCTTCGGGAGGGGGGTTGGTTACTGATGGATGTAAGTAACGTGCAAAATTATATCGTGAAAACTTTGAGTTGCTTGTATTTTGTGTTTTTATTATGAAAATAGATCAGACATTCACTGTTAACATTCATTTTATGACGTAATTGTGTTGCAAATACCGTAAAACTTACTAAAAGTAGTCTGTATCCCGTGGAGTGGACCTTTTAAGGTACCAATGATGAGACAAACTTTGAGTCTGATGTTTTTGATGACTCTCTGTATCCAACGCTTTGTCTGAGACTTCTGCATGGGTGTGTTTGTGTGTGTTGTTTGTGTGTGTCTTAGTCTTATGTTTATAGTTTAGTATTGTTGTTCTCAAGTTTATGCTGCGCCACCAAAGGTTGAAATGAAAGATAACATCTTTGTGGCATGCCATTTGTTCATCAGTTTACCAGTTTCTTATTACTAGTTATCGAAGGTGTCATGCTTTGGGATTGGGTTGTTTTTTTTGGTGGTTTTTTTGGAGGAATGTGTGTGAATGATTGTAACATGTTTTGTAATAAAAACTTGTTTCCTAGTGCTTTGAGCTGTATGTGTAATATGAGCTCATATGAAATATAGATCTATAGAGATCTGATGTTTACGTTTATTCACATCCGTGGAATATTTTGACATGACATGATCAAATTGCCAACCGTAAATGTGTCCATGGCAATGCTCACTGACCCTTTGTGGAATTGAAAAAAACAAACAAACAACAAACAAAACTTTTAGGAACAAGTTTCTTAGGAGTACCAATGATGAGACAAACTTTGAGTCTGATGTTATTGATGACTCTCTGTATCCAACGCTTTGTCTGAGACTCCTCTGTGTGTGAGGTTGTCCCTCTATTTCATTTGGTACTTCTTTCCTTTTCGTTTTCCCCCATTGTTCTGTTGCTTCATCCTCCACAATTGAACGTTGCAGACAAAAGCCCTCTCCAGAACACGGCGACCTGCGTCAGATGGCAGCCGGGACAGACGCACAAACTGGCGCTTGGCTCCGAGAGCGGTCAGCTGGCGATTCTGGACACTCGCGTGGGCGTGGAGAACTACCTCACAGCTCGTCCGCACCAGCGACCCGTTTACAACATGCAGTTCTGTCCTTCCAAGTGAGTGACCTATTAAATCTGTCTTTTCCATTGTCTGTATATTTATTACCAAGTACGTAGGCGTATTGCAATTGTCTTTCTATTCCAAGTGAGTGAACTATTAACGTTTTTTCCCCCATTGTCTGTATTTATTAGCAAAAAGGTAGACGTATATATGTAGAGACAGAGAGAAATTGTCTTGATTGTTCCAAAGTCTTCACTACTTAATGGATAGACGCAAAGAAATTGTCTAATTGCTTGCGAGTGGTTTGTTTCTACTCTTTCAAGGTCTGTGCTACCAAGTTAGTAAACTTGTTGAATTTGCCTGTCTTTTTCAAGGTCTGTTCTCTATCAAGTAAGTAGATTAGGAAACATATTTGAATTGTCTGTCAGTTCCATGGTCTGTTCTTCCAAGTGAGTAGACTGATTGATGTTGTCTGTGTTCTAAGGTCTATATTGGCAGAAGTTAGTTTTGAACTAAATACTTTTTGGAGTACCAATGATGATGCAAACTTTGAGTCTGATTTTGTTGATGACCCCCTGTATCCAACGCTTTGTCTGAGACTCCTGTGTGTGTGTGTGTGTGTATGTTTGTTTGTTCTCCCAAATGCGCAGATTTATTGAAGTTGTCTGTCTTTTCCAAGGTAGCTGGTGGTTGGCGGGTGCTGTAGTGTGGTTTGCTCCTTCTTTCTTATCAAAGATCTATCGTTATGATCTCTCCTCCTCCTTTGTTGTGTTTGTTACTCTCTAATCTTAGGCACTTACAGGATCTTATGGTGTTGCAACTACGGTAAAACTTTTTCAAAAGCTAAAAGAAATAATGTTCCAAGGTCTGTACTACCAAGTGAATATACTTACTATAGTTGTCTGCCTTTTCCAAAGTCTATAGTTCCAAGTAAGCAGACTTATTGAAATGTGGGTGGTTGGCGGTTGCTCTGGTGTGGTTTGCTCATTCTTTCCTATCAAACATATGTATCTATCGTCCTTATCTCTCCTCCTTCTTTTTTGTGTATGTTACTCTCTTGTGACACATCTATTCTTCGGCACTTATATGACCTTATTGTGTTGCCAGTGCCGTAAAACACTTACTAAAACTAAAAAAATAGACTTATTGAAATTGTCTGTCCTATGGTCTGTACTACTACCAAATAAATAAGTAGACTATTTGTCTGCCTGTTCAAAGATCTTTCCTGACAAGTATTCAGACTTATTAGTAAACAACAGGATACCTTTTGGAGTACCAATGATGAGACAAACTTTGAGTCTGATGTTGTTGATGACTCTCTGTATCCAACGCTTTGTCTGAGACTTCTCTGTGTGTGCCTGTGTGTATTGTGTGTGTGTGTGTCTGTGTGTGTGTGTGCCTCCTCTCATCCCTGTGTTATAGGTGATGAAGTTGTCTTTCTGTTGCAAAGCCTATTCTACCAAGTAGACTTATTGACGTTGTCTATTTCAAAGCCTGTTCTTCCAAGTTGACTTATTGGTGTTGTCTGTCTGTTTCAAAGCCTGTTCTACCAAGTAAGTAGACTTACATTTTGTATGTTTTTTCCATGGTCTGTTCTGCCAAGAAATAGTTTAGTAAATGTATTGAAATTGTCAGTTCCAAGGTCTGCTCTACTGAGTAAGCAAACGTATTATTGAAGAATACTTTTCGGAGTGCCAATGATGAGACAAACTTTGAGTCTGATGTTGTTGATGACTCTCTGTATCCAACGCTTTGTCTGAGACTCCTGTGTGTGTGTGTGTGCACGCCCGCGTAGTGTGATATCCATGCTTTGTTTGAGGTTTGTATGTGTGTGTATATGTATGTGTTCTTTCAAATAAGTAGAGTTATTGACGCTCTCTGTCTATTCTAACAAGTACCATATATAAATATAATGTACTTACCTATAACATGCGCGACTAAAAAAAAAAGAGAGTTCCAAACGTTCACCCGTCGTATTATACACACAACATGATACAGCCAGGACGGGCCCAACAAACAGGAAATAATGCCGAATAGGACTTTCCACTGAAGAATTGCGCTCCAACCACCTGCTCATCTATAGCAAATCAAAAATGCATTCCCACTCAGAGCTCACAGATTAAATCAATCTGAATGCAACAACCAATGGTTCTTAAAGGTAGGAAGGACACTCTATTTGATGCATGACCATTACTTGATTTCAAGCATGTTGAGTCCCTTCCAGAATGTCAGAAATTCACCTTATATTGTATGTGCTTGATGAAGCCCACGTGGGACGCTCAATGTTAAAAACAATCAGGAAAAGACATATGCAGTTTTTTGGGACACCTGAATAGACATAAGGGTCTTGAACACCTAGCTCTCCCTGGCAAAATTTAGGGCAAGCGGGGAAGGGGTAGGCCCAGAACAACATACTTAGGGAACCTAAACAAATGGGTAACAGGGAAAGATCATGGAAACGTAGCTTTTTTGAGAGCATCCAAGCAAAGGAATGAATGGAATAATGAATGCCGATGTCTGTCGTAGATCTGGCACTGGATGATGATGATTGTATGTGTGACTTACAAAAATGGGCTGATTTTGGAGTCAAGGGTGTCCAGTATCCATCTCCCCTACTATATTGTATGCGAAGTGGTGTTATAGGCGAGTGTAGGCCCAACTTATTGAAGTTTTCTGTCTGTTCCAAGTACAATGTACTACGAAGAGAGTAGACTTATTGAGGTTGTTGATCTGTTTCAAAGTCTGTTCTACTAAGTAAGTAGATTCATTGAAGTAAGTTGTCTGTCTGTTTCAAAGTCTGTTCCATCAAGTAAGTAGACTTACATTTTGTCCGTCTTTTCCGTAGTCTGTTCTAACAAGTAAGTAGTTTAGTAAATTGTCCGTCAGTTCCAAAGTCTATAGGCCTACTACTGAGTAAGCGAATTTATTATTTAAGAATACTTTTTGGAGTGCCAATGATGAGACAAACTTTGAGTCTGATGTTGTTGATGACTCTCTGTATCCAACGCTTTGTCTGAGACTCCTGTGTTTGTGTGTACATGCGCACGCAGGTGCATTCTTCCAAATAAAGCGGACTAATTGAAGTTGTCTATCTGTTCCAAAGTAGCAGTTCCAAGGTAGCGGGTTGTTTGCTCCTTCTTTCAGTCAAATATCTATCGTTCTGATCTCTCCTCTTCCTCCTTTGTTGTGTGGTTCCTCTCTTGTAACACCTCTGATCTTCGGCACTTATATGACCTTATGGTGTTGCAAGTACTGTAAAACTCTTACTAAAACTTTTTAAAATAATGTTCCAAGTTCTGTACTACTGGTACTTGTCTTATTATAGTTGTCTGCCTTTTTCAAAGTCTCTACTTCCAAGTGAGCAGATTTATTGAAATCGTCTGTTGTTCATAAGGTCTGTACTGCAAAGTAAGTAGACTGACTATATTTCTGCCTGTTTTAAGATCTTTCCTAACAAGCACGCAGACTTATATTATTGAAGGATGTCTTAAGAGTACCGATGATGACGCAAACTTTGAGTCTGATGTTGTTGATGACTCTCTGTATCCAACGCTTTGCCTGAGACTCCTCTGTGTGTGTGTGTGCACGCATCTGTGTGTGTCTATCCATCTGTACTACTATGGACGGGGAATGGAATAATGATTGTATTATACAGGTGGCAGTTACAGCAGGTTTGTTTTTGTTTGTGTCATCCTCAGGCCGTCCCTGCTGGCCTCTGTTGGAGAAGACTGCCGGACAGTTGTGACGTCTCTACAGGAAGACTCACTGAAACAAGAGTACGTATTGACGGTATTTGTGTCATGGCGCAGTGAAATCAGGCGCTCGTCAAGTCAACTTTTAGACATATGAAGTTGCTGGTATCGTCCTATATTAAAGCTTGTTTATTTGTCTTGTTTTGATGACAAAATTCGTATCTTGAACAGAAGTCACTCGTATAAATGATTGAATGGGGTGTGGATTGCCTTGTTAAAGAGGTAAAATTAACAAGAAAATGGCAGCATCATTTTGGTGACTTCCAAAGCTTGAATTTCCTTGAAAACTGCAAATTTACATTCTTTTTATTCTTTTATGCATCTAGTCAACAATTTTCTCTAAAGTCCACACAGAACTGTATTTTTTAAAATGGATGTAACTGAAGTGTTGAGCCGAAAGGGGGAAAAAAAGATAAAAATTTCTCAATGGGCGGTAGAGATGTTGGTTTCTTCGTTCTCTTTATTATTACAAATGTCCGAGTTCACCACGATGCCACACAATAGTTTTTTGATTCACTTGCCTGTTTCAACTTAACACAATGTAGATTATTAAATTTAATTTTAATAAGCAAGGTTTCTGAATATTGTCAGCCTTTCCTATTAAATATCTTTATCCCTCTACCTTCTTTTCTTTGTATATTACTCTCTTTTTTAACACTTCTAATCTTCAGCACTTACATGACCTATTTATGCTGGCTACAAGTGCAGGAAAACTGACTAAATCTAAAACTATAAATATTTCTAAATCTAAAACGCTTTTTAAAATTTAAAACCAGATTCTTACTAATACTAAAACTTAAGTCAAATTGTACTAAAACTAAACAAAAACTTGAACCAAACCCTTATTAACGCTTCCAGTCCCGAGCGCGTATATTTTCAGCAGCGCTTGTACCTCCCACCGTCCCAAGAGCGTATATTCTCCATTTCGGGGAGAACTGAATTTGCGCATTTTTCTAAATAAGTGAGCCTAATTAACCTTTCATTTTCATATTTGTTCATTTACCTTTAAACATTGTTATATATGTTATTATCTAAACTTCATTACAAAGATATTACATCACTTTTCAGAATGCATGCCTCTTTTTCTGAAATACTGCTGTATTGGCTGGGGTCAGGGAGTGCACACAAACGCCTGGGGCTGGAAGGGTTAAAACTAACTAAGAGTAAACTAAAACTCCTAAAACTTATCTAAATCCCTGACACCTGTGGCATACGCATCCCTCCACAGGTACTTGGACATCACACACACAGACTTTGTCCACGGCGTGGCCTGGTCCAGTGACTCAGAGCTGTACACGTGTGGCTGGGACGCCAAAGTTCTCTCCCATGACCTGACCCGTGGGGTCGCGACCTCGCTAGGGCAGGCGGTGGATGGCAGCAGCACGGTACAGATGAATGGGGACGTGGTGGAGAACGGCGTGGACGCTCGCGACTTGTTGGGGGCGGGAGACGGGTCTGAGGGGAAATCGGACCAATCGACATCGTCGCCGTGCAAGTCTCCGTCATACAGCCAAGCAGTGAAAACCTCATCGCAGGAGATCACCGCAGAGGGCTGACATGTCCGGGCTCCATGATGTGCTTTAATCAAGCGAATGACATTTCCACTAGGGGCGCTGCCACTTTTCCCGAATATGTACAGGAGTACCAGAAGTCTGGGTTTGGAACTCGGAACACTTTGGATTCCTGTTCCACTCGGACTTATCTGACAGTGACAATTAACGCTCTGCAGGCTTGGTGGATAAGTGACCTCACAGTTTCCCGAAGTCTTGCCAGATGGAAGGGTCGCCCCCTAGTTTCCTTGTTTCCGGTGGCAAAAGTGCGAGGGCTGAAGGGGCCATGCTGGGATTGGACGAACAGTGACGGCCACTACCTTATTGGTGCAATTCTCAACAAATCATGCTTTGGCTGGCTACTTTCCAAAAAAAGAAGTTGTGAGAAAGTCTGTAATCAACGTTCAGGGACCAGACGTTTGTGTTCATTTACTTAGGACTAGGATAGGTTTACGGTCTAGAATAGGTTCACGATCTAGGATAGGTTTACGGTCAATCTGATGTTATTGTGTCTAGTTGACACATGGAGAGAAATTGTAGTCTTCTTTTTTTTTTTTGACAGTACATAATGAAATATGGTCTGTTGGCATTGGTTACTTTTTGGGATAGCAGCTCAAGTATCGTAACTCAGGGTTTTGGCGCAAATTCCTTTTTTTTTGTGTGTGCATATTCCAGGGCACTGGGGAGGGGTGCATGCTCTATAAAAACCTCTAGAGTTGTTGCAATCATTTTGTTATAGTACACTTTGAACTGAAATCCCGGGTATTGATGATGGATATAACGTTGAAAATCAGTTTTTTGTTCTTCCTGTAAAATTTAAAAAAAACCTTAGTCTTAGTTACGACAGTTGTGCTGCCTCCCTATGATTTGATTTTGTTTGTAAGTTAAGTGAGTGAGAGTATTACCTGTGAAGTCATGAGTGTTTGGTTTGAGAGTGACTCAAATGCTTATTATTCATATGATTTTGTTTGTGGGTACAGAGCTTTTGTCCAGGAAATCAATGGAAACTGTGGGTTGTGCTCTAGAAGAGCCAGCTGTAAAACAAGTATTATGTTTGTAGTTTTTATAGTACAGTGGAACTCAGATTCAACTGGATGAGATAGATTCCCCCTTTTTTTTTCTTCTTTAAAATCAATAAAAATAACCCGGATTCAACGAGCACTTAAATCAGCGAGCTTGGATTCAATGAGATCGCTTCCAGGGTGAACAGCCCCCACAGCCGTGGCTTCGCTCATTTTTCTCCCAGAACAAACTTTATCTGTTCCCGGTAATCATCCATTGCACCTTCATCGGGAGCCAATATCCACTTTGACTTACCTGATTGCATTTGCATGCGACCAATCAGCGGCCTTTTTTCATACTAACACATGCGTTGTTGGCTTGCGCACGTGTCTACTCTGGCGTGTGTCGGGGTCAGATGGGCGCGGTTGTCTATGGAATCAAAAGTTGCCGTATGCTAGACTCTACACAGCAACACAACTTTGTGGTAAACAATCGAGATGACATGGGCATTTGCTTTTGAACGAATCGGTCTTTTTTTTTTTTACACAGCTCATAATATGCAGGCATTTCAGGCACAACTTGTGACTTCACTTTATACATTACTTGCTCAATGCCAGGGTTGGTGATTTTTTTTTTTTCTCATAAAAATAAAAAAATCGATTTTTTGGATTTAAATCATGATTTTTAAAATTTAAATCAGATTTAAAAAATTTTTAAAATTTTTTTTAAAATGTCGACAGTTTGGGATTTTTGGTTGCTAAAAGTATGTTCTTTTAGTGCAAAATGCATTGTCTTTATTTTAACTAATGATTAAATTAAGCAACCTCAAAAGAAAGCCTTAATCTGCTATATAATAGTATATATATATATATATATATATATATATATATATATATATATATATATATATATCAGTGAATTATGGCTACAGACAAAAAATGAAGAAAATGTCAGTATAAAAGGGAGGGGGTGGAGGGAGGGGGGGGGAAACTTTAACTTAAATAAACTTGCATTTTTATTACAGTGTGTGTGCACGCGCTTGTGTTTGTCTAAAAAGAAAAAGAAAATGTTAATTTCAATAATGAAAAAAAAGTCAATTGAATACTGTATTATTTTACAGTGACAGGGGGGAAAGCAGACTTTTAAGCATGATTATATTAGTCTACTAAACCTTATATGTTTAATAAAACCAAGGAAAGGAATTCTGAATGTTCAAATATGTAAAAACTGAATACATTTGTTAAAAAGTGATTTAAATAACTGATTTTTATTTTGAAAATCAAGTTGATTGAAATATTTAAAAAATCAACTGATTTAAATCAACCCAGCTCTGATTTCAATTATGGAAAAAAAAGTAAATTGAATACTGTATAATTTTACAGTGAAAGCTGGGAAAGCAGACTTTTAAACATGATTATATTAGTCTACTTAACCTTATATCTGTTTTATGAAACCAAGGAAGGGAATTCTGAATGTTGAAATATGAAAAAACTGAATAAAAATAACTTTAAAAAAAAGTGATTTAAATCACTGATTTTTTATCCAAAAAATCAAGTTGATTTAAATTTAAAAAATCAACTGATTTAAATCAACCCAACCCTGCTCAATGCCTGTAATTATCTACACAAAACCTCATGTTTCAATGAGATTTTAGGTCAGGCCCGGCGACCTCGTTGAATCCGAGTTCCACTGTATAGTTTATCATAGCGAACATTTTCAGGTCCTCAATTTTTTCTCATACACTTATTATATTCTTTGTTTTTAAAACACTATACATAGTGAAATTCGTAGATTGTGAAAAAACTTCCGCATCCGGCCAATTTCACTATGTGCTAAGGAATCTAAGTGTTATGAGTTTAATACCTCTGTCAACTTTATCAGGTGTTTAAGAGGCAGGACCTTCGAATTTAGTGTCCGTCTCCAATAGGACCGATGGTTATGTGCGTAATAATAGACTGTATATATATATAAAATGTTGTACTTATTGTTGGCCGTTTTGACCTGTCAGTCTCGCCCGCTGCTGCACCGATGTACAGACTGAACTGAACTGAACATCATCTATGAAGTAGGACAGACTTGTATTTGTTTGTTTGCGTGACTGGTTGTGAGGACTGACAGTGTTGAACGTAGAAGACTGCGACAGTGGGATATTTCCTTTCCATGATTTGCAGAAATTCCTTGTGGGTGCTCTGGTGTGGTTTGCTCCTCCTCCCCTGTCCAACATGTCGTCTTTATTTCTCCATTTTTGTTGTTGTTGTGTGTTTGTTACTCTCTTTGTAACACCTCTACTCTAATCTTGGGCTCATGTATGACCTTATTGTGTTGCAAATGCTGTAAAACTGTTACTAGAGTAAGAAATTCCCTGTTGTATTTTAATGTCAGGTTTCTCTTCACTCATATATATTCAAGTCGTTGGCTTGTTCTAGGTGGCGTTGACTTAACAAAATGCCCACTGTGTATACGGAAATTGGGCATTTGTCGCTGAAACTGCCTTGTCCAATCTGGCAATTTTTGGCCAGATCTGTGTTACAGTTGCTTCTGGTGGTATGTGTACTGCAGTATTTTCAGTGGCGCATTATTACCTTAATATCTCAAGAGGTGTGGCTGTAGTATTTTAGCCCCACACATTTACATTTGGATGCCTCTGTTTTCTTTCGGTAAGAGATTTTTGGCACCTGCAACACAATTAGATCATATGAGTGCCAAAGATTTGTTACATGAGAGTAACAAACACACAAAAAAAAGGAGAGATAAGGATGGCAGATTTTTAATAGAAAAGGAGGAGCAAACCACACCAGAGCGCCTGCCTACCACCCACACTTAGATGTCTTTAAATAATTAGGTGTGTGTCTACTGTTGTATTCTCACAGTTGCATGGTGTGAGTATCTTCAATACATGTAATAATAATAATATTATAGGTTTCTGTACATGTAGGCGTTAGACCTGAAATTGCACTGAAATCAGTATTATTGTAAAGTAATTTGGTAATGGTTGGTGTTTTCACAACAGCGGTGTATCAGTGCTGGTCAGTGTGTGGAGGCTACTCTTTTGCCAAGGTCAAGGAAAAGAGCGAGAATTATATATTCGGCAAGATGTGAAAATGTACCAAATGCAAAATATTTTAGGAGATAAAAGAAACTCATTCTTTGAAATTAAAATTTATACCTACTTTATTTTTATTTGCCCTTTTTCAACATTTAGATTTCAAGTTTTGACAGGATATTTTTTAGGCAATGCGACCTATACCGCTGAGAAACTGCTTTTTATTTTTAATGGTTGAATTTGTTTTTTGGGCTTTATATTCTGAACAGCTGGCAGAAAATATACGGTATATATTATAATATGTAACAAATATATTATGACCTATTTGTGTTGTTATTGCCGTAAATTTCTTTCTAAAACTAAACCAAGGAAACGAGTCTGGTAGATAAAGGTACTTGTTGCACACTCAGTTGGAATGTAGCATGGAGGCTTCAAACCTCCCAGCGTGGGTGGTTGGTGGGTACTCTGGTGTGGTTTGCTCCTTCGTTTCTATCAAACATGTAGCGTCCTCTTCTCAATGATTTTCTTTTCTTTTCTTTTGCATGTTTTTCAGTAAGAACACCTCTAATATTCAGCACTTACATAACCTATTTGTGTTGCAAGTGCCATGAAACTCGTTTCCTTCTTTTTATTCTGATTGTTGCTCTCTGAACTTTCTCAGTTTCTGGTCGTTGTTGTTGTTGTTATCGATCCAGCAACATCTGGGCTCTCGCCCTTCTGTCCAATGCCATGTAGTGATAAGTGCAGGTTTGCTGCAGTTGCTGTAATGTTCCGTAGAGTGTGTTGTCGAAGTTAGGTCTCGGAGGGAGAAGGGTAGCTCTGATGTCATTTAGGGCTGTACAGTGGAAAAGGTGATGTTCCACTGTCTCATATGCATAGTCACACAAAAGACACATTGGGGGAAGTTCTGGCTCAGTTTCTGGTATAAGTCTAATGTAACATAACATAATCACTCTATTGAACCATCTATACTTTGTATTTTTGCAAGGCATTTAAGACAAACATCCCCATTGCATTATCAATCTGAAATGCTCATGTTTGTTGGATCTTGCTTTCTTGGAAACCCCAAATCCCACAAAATGGAAATCAGACATACATAGCTGCCAACTAGTACATAAAAATAGCTGCCAACTAGTACATAAAAAAACATATTCTTTTTGAAAAGTTGGCAGCTCTGGACAAAGAGAATTTGTAATTTGTGGAATGCGAGGTTCACCCTAGGTTGTTAGAAATTTTGTACGCTTTCTACTACATCACATGTAAAAAAAAACTTCCAATATATGGGGAGTGGAATGTGCTCTTGAGCTCAAGTTACTGGGTAAATGTCTTGGGTTATCAACGTTTTTGTGGAATGAATGGGAGGTTGTGCTTCCTGGAGATTGCAAAAAGTGAAATGTAGGAAAGAAAGAGTTTGTACTGTGAAGATGGAGAATTCTGCAAAAGGGTTAGTAGAGTGGGTGAGATATCTGCCATCACCATAATTTGTTCACAACAGCCATTTCATGTGTTGCTGCAGCATAGTGTGTTGTTCTAGGAATTGACACATTCCTGTTGTGTTACTGTATTTTGTTGGTTCCTTGTTCTGTCTGTGTGCACATTGTCATAAGTTAAAAAATAAACAAGATAAAAGTTCCAGTTTTATGTGTTTGATTGTAAATTTTATGCTTTTATTCTCTAAAGCCCGCTATACACCTGCAGTAAGAATTGTTTGAGTTGAACTGTGGAGTAAACCCGTCAGATAAACCGGAACACTGAGTGTATCCCAACCATGCAAGTAGACAGAAAAACTGTATCGTGTCTAGATCTAGAATCTGTAGGCACTAACCTGTTCAGTATCTTGATGAAGGTGTACTCAGAATGATATGGTTGTTAACGGCAAGGCGGCTTAGGGAGAAGTGAAGTCTCCCTCCTAAATCAGGTACAGCCTCCGGGTCAACTCCAGTAATCAGTAGTGATGAGCATATTTCGCATATTTCCTATTCGATACTTACATTATTACATGATAAAAACATTCCTTGTTGTCATGGCGGAACAAATGGATATCGATCATACACTTGAACTTATCAAATACTGTAAATAAGGAAAAATATAATTTTGTAAATAAGCAATAAATCGAGCAGTGTGCTTGTAGGCTTTTGTTATTTTGACATGCTGAGTTCGAAAATAGAATTATTTTTATAATCAGAGTACCAATTTAGAGTGATATTTGTGTCTTTAATGTGTTAAAATTTTCTTCCCGGCTGAAAAAAAAATCAGAGGAACGCAAGCCCCAAAGAGGAGTTAATACGTCTAATGTCAAACTGAAGCCAGCCAAACTGACATTGCCGCCTGCACAGTCCGAACCACTTCCATACACACCTTCCATCTGTCCCCGTGGTTTTATGCTCCCTGCATAATCCAGCAAAATTTCACCATTTTTTGCATAATTTCTGATTATTTTCCTCTATCATTCTTTGTTAAAATTAACAGAATCGCATAATTTCACATTTTTGGGCTCAGTTTGCATAATTTCAGGATTTTTCTTGCCTAAAACGACGGGGACAGTTCCATTCTACGGACAGATTGGCCTGTTCCAATGAACCCGGCGAGTCTAACTCTACATGTACTAACTGCAGGTGTGTAGCGGGCTTTATACTTACTTAGCTGTTGCTTGCAGGAAATCTGAGTTTGAATCCCAAGTGGGGAGAATTTTATGGAGTATCTCGGTCTTTCTGCTAGGATGCTGAATCCCTCTCAGCCCAGATCAGAAGCCTGCCTCCTAAATGGTCTAAATTGTGTCGATGGGGGCGTAAAAACACCTTACATATATTATTCAATAAACATTGGATGGTTGGAAGGCGCCACTTGTGTCCCAATTTACTTTTCTCTTCTTTTTTGTCTATCTTGTTCTTATTGTGTTGGTGTGCTCTTTCATCAAACAGATAAAAAACCTCGACCCACTGCAGTTTATTTAGGAGGCAGGCTGCTACCCTAGCTGTCAGGGCCAACCCTGATCTCATACCGTCATGCGACGATTTTAGTAATGTACAAATTTTTGTTTTGCAGTGTAAAAAACTACACCGTCACACTAGTAAGTACAATTCCTGACGGTGAAACCTCAGTATTATAATAGGTGGCGTGACATGGAGGAATCGGGCGCTCGTCAATTTTTGGGCATATGGGTTATTGGTATCATCATAAAGCCTGTTCATTTGCCTTGCTTTTGGTGAAAAAAAAATCAAGGTTGAATAGAAGAGATTTTCGATTGAAGGAGGTAAGGTTCGCCTGGTTTCAGAGGTAAAGTTAGTGAGAAAATGGCCACCAAAGTTTGATAAATTTCCATAGCTTGAGAGTCCTTGGAAACAAAATTGACAGATTTTGTGCCTTTAATCAACCTTTTCCAGTAAAATCCATACAGATATGTTTTTAAATGAACATAAAAGGTGTTGAGTCCCAAAAAAAAAAAAAAAAAAAAAAAAAAGGAACAACGGCCAGAAAAATGCCAGTTTCTTTGATTTCATTATTTTGACATGGGCCGGATTTCACCACGATGCCCCACACATAGATTTTACTGGCCTGTCATCTTCTGCTTCTGGACATATTTATTTATCGTTTTATTGCATCAAGCATTTTATTGCTGTTCAAACACTAGTTCAGAAAAAAGTAATAACTGGTGACTTTTAACGCTCCCCTATACAGCATGACCAGTGTGTTGACATCTTTAGACATTCATGTAAACTGCTCGATAGATACTGCCATTCAAACGGCATCTTGTAGGCGGTTGGCAGGTGCTCTGGTGTGGTTTGCTCAAAAGGCTTGTATTTTTAGTACTAGAGTTCTTGGCAGAGATGTCCCCCACGTAAACGAACGGGGACTGCGTGAGCCCACTCTGGGACGCTGAACCTCAAGGGCAAGACATGCGCTGTTCAACCGACTGGTGAGTACTTTTCAAGACTCACATGGAAGCGTCTCAGCAGTCTGAGGAGGAAAATCTACAAGCTTGCACTGAAACATGGGGAGGCAGAGTGGTGTTTTACACTAAAACCCTGAGGGTTTTTTTTTCATAACCCCCTAGGCCCTAGAATCCTGAATTGAAATAGAAATACTAGGAAAAAAATCAAGTTGTTTCATGGTTTTATTTACTGTGTCTTTAACTGTTGTCAGATTTTACTGAAATTTGAATATGTTATATAATGAATGCACAGTCTGGACAAAAGGGGAAAAAGTTAAAATTTTTAGAACCAACTCATTGAAAAAAGTTTTGTGTGTGATCCCGGAGTCAACTACAATCAAAGCATCATTTAGTAGACCCAGCCGTAGATCAAGCTTGACAGCTCATGTTTTGTTTTTGTTTTTGTAAAGTGTTTTACGGCGCTCGCAACTGCATAAGGTCATATGAGCGTGCGGGACACACCTAATATTTTCAGTTGGTAGGAAATTTTGAATTTTGCTCGGGTGGCGGCCGAAGCCTACTCTCATCGATTTTAGACCACCAAGGGATCTTTATCGTGCGCAACTTGCACACGGGCCCTCCGAGATTTTTCGCCCTTGTCCGAGAAGGCTAGGTGTAGACTTTCCTACCAGAAGATCAGGGGTGTGGCAGAAAGACAGCAGTAAGGAGGGGCCAAGGAGTAGCAGTAGAAAGGCTGCAGAAAGAGTCAGGAGCCCAGAGGAGGGGGCAAAGGAGGTGAGGGGGTGGGGGCAGAAAGTGGAAATGAAAGCAGACAACAGAACATTGCTAGAGAGCAGGAAAGGAGGTAAAAGGAGACAATTTTAGAGAAGAAAATTTTTTGGTCGCTACCCGGATTTGAACCCGGGACCTTTGAATGAGAGGCCAACACCTTAACCTCTAGGCCACGAGAGCCCCCTTGACAGCTCTAGTGGTGATCCCCTGCCACTTCCACTATTCTCAAAATCATCATCGATGTTATGCGAAAGATGATATCGTCTTCAACAGTCATATCTATCGATATATATGAATATGACTGAAAAGAGTCATCATCAGGGTCTGGTTCAGGATAAAAATGTAAAAAATATTGTGGCTTGATGGGCCTGGCCAGTGAAGAGTCACTCATTTTTTTCTGGAGCTACATCCCCTGTTTCTTGTTTGTTTGTTTTAGTAGAGATTTTACGGCGCTCGCAACTGCATAAGGTCATATGAGCGCCAGAAGATTAGAGCTGTTACAAGAGAGTAACAAACATAAAAAAGAAGGGGAGATGAGGACGATAGATGTTTGATAGGAAAGAAGGAGCAAACCACACCAGAGCACCCGCCAACCGCCCACCCCTGTTTCTAGCCCTGGGTATTAAACAATAGACTTAACCAGCGGTATAGGAATATATGGCGTCAGCGGTCACCAACTGTAAAGGGTTTTAACGGTCAATATACCAGAGCTTGTTGGAAGTAGGGTGGGGGCTCAGATTATTTATGTAAATGGGGGCACGCCAGCCATGCCGATGAGGGTAAGAAAGGCCCCAATGTCTCACACATGTGACGTCATTGCTACGAGCCCTAGTATTATATAACCTCTTTCGGTTTACAGCTATTTTCCTATAAAAAAACCTATTGTCCCCATCTCTCATCTTTGTACATTACTATCAAGCAACACCTGTGAGTGGATGGCAGGTGATCTTGTATGGTTTGCCACTTCTTTCCTATATCAACAAACAACTACTGTCCTGATCTCTCCTCTTTCTTTTTTTGTGTTTGCTACTCTCTTGTAACACCTCTAATCTTCCGCACTTATATGACCTTATTGTGTTTCAAGTGCTGTAAAACTCTTACTAAAACTAAAACCTCTAATCTTTGGCACTTATATGACCTATTTGTACAGCAAATGCCGTAAACTCTTTACCTATTTAAAACTGAACTAAAACAACATTTTTTTTCTTATCACATTAACACAATAATGGTCAAACCAACTAAATAGCAGAGGCAAAAATATGACAGACACAGAAGTAAAAGGTCAGACTTTTTAGAACAAACTCCAACCATTCACAAAATAAACAAATCAAGAGTTCAATTCTGCTTCGGCACAAACACTTTTATTTGTTATATTTCCTAAAATATATTTTGACATTCTCAATCTCCTTTCCCAACAACTTAAATGCAACAAGTTTCTGTTACGCCAATTGGTCATAATTAAATAAAGAGCTTTTATACAATTGAGATAAATAAAACAATCCTCTTGTGCATTCCGAGACAAGACCTTTCTTACTTTCATACTAGACGAAGCAGTCATCATGCGTAAAGTCATGAACACAGGCTTGCAAGGAAAGCTGTAAAGTGTAAGTCTGAAGTAGTAAAACAACTCTTGTCATGTCAAAGAAGGAAACACACCTGATGTGCCAAAACATTTTGATTCCCATTACCATCTGGTGAAAAGTACAGCCAGGAAGCCTGCTCTTGCTACTTCAAACTGCATGTTTGACAAAAGTGGAGAGATAAAAAGATCCACAGGCATGCAGACCGCAAAGAGAGAGCACACTCCTCCAAACCTTTATTGCCTCTGAACCAAGACCAAAGTCTTCAAATAATACATGGAAGAAGGAAAGTTCAAGCATTTCATTTCCTGATGAGATTTGTGCGACTCCTGAATTCCCACACAGCATCTTTTAGTGCTGCTCACGAACACATTCTGTCCCAACTTTTTTCCACAAAAGAAATATAAAAAGACATTTCGAGGAGAAGAAGATAAAACATGTCCACATAAAAATGAAAGCAGCTTGAAGACTTGAGATCGCTGATCAAACACCAAGTCAGTAAAATCTCTCCCTCTCAAACTTGTGAAAGCCAGAGAGTCCAACCAATTCCCACCCCGACATTGACACGGATGCAATGTTTATTCACATCAATGTGCATCCTTTTCTTTACACTTACACAAAGTGCAGTTGCAGTACCATACGCAGCCCCCCCCTACCCTGTACACAGAACTTCTGACTGTACTTGTGAAGAAAAGAGTGTATGTAGAAATATACTCTTCCAAAAGAAAAAAAAGTTTAAAAAAAAAAACCCACAAAAAAAACAAAAACAAAACGTGTATATCGCCTAACCAGCACTTGTGTTGGAGACTTCCTGCTCGTTTCCCCCCCTCCTAGACGTTTTCCCCACAGCCGCGGAGACATCAGAGGTGTCGTGGTCAAGACGGGCGAGCAATAGAAAACCTAGCGTGAACTCGTGTTGACGTAGCTGGGTCCAGGGTTAACGCGCATAGCCAAACTCGCGCGCATCGTCCTCACGGAAATCTCCGTAGCGCCACAGATTTTTCTGAAATACAAAAGCACATACAATTGTCATTTTTGTCCATTACACTCAAATTATTTAGGGAAAAAAAAATGAGCAGAAATTTCTTCCAAATGAAGACAAAATATTTGAGAATTTACAGTAATAAAGCAGAGGGAAATCCCCCCGGAAAATATTCCCCAGAGAAGAAGTAAAGTAAAAGACTCCCAATATTTCCATTCCCGAAAAAAATAAAAATAAAGAAATACATGTCAGCATTCCCATCCCTAAGAGAAGTAACGAAAAATATCCACGATTCCTGAGAAAAGTAGAAAATGTGGCAACTTAAGCGGCCACTTTGTAACTGACCTGCTGTCTCCTGCTCCAAACCCGGAAGAAAGCAAACAACCATCAATCTATTATGCCACTCATCCGCTGTCTTCTGCCCCCACCCCCCAAGTAAGCAAACAACCATCAATCTATTATGCCACTCATCCGCTGTCTTCTGCCCCCACCCCCCAAGTAAGCAAACAACCATCAATCTATTATGCCACTCATCCGCTGTCTTCTG